ACACACACACACACACACACAGACACACACACATTCGCTGCTCCCTTTCCTCCATTCCCAGCCCATGGCTGCCTGGTGTCTGAATCAGCCTATTTGGTGGCTGTTGTGCATGTGGGAGGAGATGTGCAAGTATGTGTGTGTGGGGTCCAGATATGTGGACAGGGTGTGTGTGTGTGTGTGTGTGTGTGTGTGTGTGTGTGGGCGGGGCCTGAGTATGTAGGTGGGGTCCAGGCCAAGGAGTCTCACCTGCTGGTGGCTTGATGAGCGGGGGAGGGATGAGAGGGACGATGATGGGAATGTTGCCGTGCTCCTTGGCGCTGACAGAGGAAGAGGAAGCCCCAGTGGAGGTCTCTGTCCCGTTGCGTGACACTGATGTGTGATGGGAGCCACTGGAGTTTGTCGGGGAGCCAGCACCCTCGTCCCGCGTCTTGGCTTTTGGCAAAGAGTTTTCTGCAAGAAATTGACAATTGATGAGCCACTCAGCTCTGTGGTAAAAGCAGAGCTTTCAGAGCAAATTACAGCACTGAAATATCCAAAGGTACAGCAGCAGGACTCTCTTGGGATCTAACTTAAGGCCGTTAAGTTCTCTGACTGCCATGCTGTCGACAGAGATAAACCTCACATAAATAAACATTTCATGCCAACACTGCGTCTTCTTGGCCACCGCTGTGGCACTGCGTCTGCCTGAGACCCCAGGGGATTGTGGGTATGATCACTCACTCTGCAGGCTCTGCCGGAGGAACAAGGCCCACAGGAAAGCCCCACCGCTACAGAGCCACGTCATCGATCTGCAGCGATGGAGCTGTTTAAGAATGCAGCGTCTCCCAGAAACACAGACGGCCTGAGTGTGCGTTTCGCACATGTGCGATGAATGAATTAGTTACAACTGACTGTAAAAACCACAACAATGAAGAAGCTGTGAATGCAAGCAGGCCCTGGAATGGATGGCCTGCAGCCTGCGAGTCGTCTGAAATGACATCGCATCAACACCAGCGAGCCAGAAGGGCGAACGTGGGCGGAGCAACTCACCGACGCCCCCCCCCCAGTGATAGCATGCTCCTGGCCCCACCCATCTGAGCTTTCATTCATTACATTTTACTGAGCATGTTTCATGCACCTTCAGCCATGCAGCTTGACTGACAGGCTGCTCAATCCACACTAACAGATGAATAATAGAGGTGCCCTTTGACCGCTGATCTCCGTGGTGACAGAGGGACCAGTGTCCATCAAGCCCCCAACACAGCCACACCACCAGCACCCTAATCACATTCTGCAGCCACGTTACTTTCTTCTCCATCTTGTGAGATTTGGTAACCATGGTCACTGTCCTTTTCTTAACGTGTCTCTCTAACGAGGAGAAAATGATGGCTGCCAAGAGCCGCCGGGCCCCAGCAGGACACACTGGGTCCCCAAGCCACCACCCTGACAGGAAGATGACATTTCCAAACGTCTCGCACTCAAACTGGCAGCTGATTAATGCTCTGGCTCCCGGTTTTTGGGGGAGGATTTCAGCCTTTAATTTTACACATCTGAGTAGCGCTGATTGGAAAAAAAATTAAAATCCGGCAACTCATTTATGTAAAAATGAGCAAAATTTCAGGTTAGTCAGCCTGAAATAAGCAGTATTAAATTGTTTTTGTTCAGAAACTTCAGTTTTCTGGTGCTGAACACAAGGAAAAATAATTAAGGAGCTGACAGTTATATGATCATGTAAGTTTGTATCCCAGCATGCATTTCTCACCCTGGCCTGAGTCAGTCTACAGGGCTGTGGGCTGCAAAGTGCTAGTTTTTCTCTCCCCATATAAGGGAATATGGGTGGGGCTAAATGTCACAGTGTCTGTGCTTGATAAATAGTGAGGCCACGCAAGTTGGAGCCAGGCTCCGTCTCCAGGTAATGTCGGACCGGCTCCGAGGAGCGAGTGACATCACCACGCGGGTCGGGCCGACGTCCAGCAGAACCCCCTTACAAAGCGGACCCGACATGCACACACTGAATTCATTAGCGCCACAGGAGGCACTGCTGATACTGTCATTTACAAACAAAAAAGCAGCCATTCTCCCACGGCTTGCGATGAATTAGCCACTTCATTAGAGTCCAATTGCTTCCTGACGAATGGCGGCGCTCAGGGAGACTCTGGCGGACGGCAGCAAACGCTGTGATCTGTCCGCTGCTTTATGATATATATTAATATATAAACAGCAGAAAGCTGGCGGCCTCATCCCTGCCCCCCCCGTCCCCCATCGGGTCGGTACCTTTCAGGACAGAGATGTGCTGCCGGGCCTCCCCGTCTGGGTAGCTGCGGATGTCGAGGTCGTCCGAGTCGCGGAGCTCCACCTTGTCGTAGCCGTACCAGCCGAGCAGCTCGTTCATGGTGTTCTCAGCAAAGCTCTGGGGGCGCAGACACGAGACGGGAGGCATCACACTCCAGCGCCTCGATTAATACTCCTTTAGCATGGAATACAATTAGGCAGAAACCCACTGCGAGGCTTGACGGCACGCCAGCGATCCCCCACCCCCAAACGACCCCCTCCCGCTCGCCCCTGCTTCGGCGGGGTTTAAACCCCCAGGGGGCTGCAGGTCTAGTTAATCACTGCGCCGAAGCCTGCCATTTTTGCAACAATAAAAGGACATATTTCGCAGTCCGTGTGCGGCGGCGGCGAGGAGCCCGTCCTTCTTGCAGGAATCCCATAACCCTTAGGGAGGGTTGTTTAGCATTGGGTGGGGGCAGCACTGACCCTGGGCCTGCGGAGGATCGAATTACTTGTTGGATGGAATCCACAAGTTGGGCTGACTTCCCAAAGAGAGTGCTGGACAGAAGTGCCCCACATCCCCCCTCGCTCGGGACAGGGTTACGAGAGTCATCATGGGCTGCCCCTCTATGTGAGGGCCAGGGGCACGTGTGGGTCTCTGAGACCCCGCCCAGCCGTCGGCAGCATCCGACCCCCTTCTGCAAGGATGTCAGGTCCCCGCCTGAGCTACAACAACCTGCATCCTTCATTATTCAAGCAGTGAACTAAAGTGACGGGAGGCCACAGGCTGCTTGTGGCGACCTGTAAATACAAACTCAGGCAGTAGCTCATCCTGCCAGCTTTCCCCGGACAGAGCACCCTCCATGCCTGGACACAGGGGGCGCCAAAGATCAAGGGTCAAATCTGAAAAATCTGAAGATGCTCCATCACACCTCAGACCCCTGCAGACCTCATGTGTTAGTTTTTAGGCCTCTCATATGTAACATTTCTGTTATTTGGTCTGTAGCAGTGAATTTAATCTCTGGTCCGTCCCCCGCCCCCCCCCCCCCCAACCACCCAGCCACAAGCCGCTCATAGTATCCCGGCATCTAAGCAGAGCCAAGCACTCAGCCCTGCACTGGACCTCCACGAACACAATCCGTCAGGGGAAACATCAGCCCTGGCTGACCTGAGCTCCGGTACCTGGACTACGGGAACAACGTGTCAGATGTGAGAAAAGGTCACCGGAGTGGGAACGGGGCGTGGAGCACGGAACACGAAACTTAGGTGTTCCATGGGCACCAAAGTGCAGTCAGGCTGGGTGAGCAGGAAGGGGGCGGGGTGGGCCGAACCGGATCAGGACCTATCACATGAGGACAGCCCCCCCCCCCACGCCTGATGCCTCCTCACCTGCTTCCTGTAACCACAACCCCAGTGTCCTGCCAAGACAAAGAAGACGAGAAGCATCGTCCTGCGACAGAAGGACTTTTCGTTCGGTTCTGACACTGAACCTATCTCTCTGCTTGGACACAAAGAAAACATTGTCCCGCTGTGACCGGACCTCTGCTGTACACCAGTTCAGGAGCAGGGAAAGCATTACCTTCATGCCGAGGAACACAGCCACGCAGAACACCACACCACCAAGAGGCCGCAGAACAGAAGGACCTCATGCTCACACGGACTCCAGAGGAGAGGAGAGAGGTAAGGAGCGCACGCTGATTATAGCGCGATGCCACACCCACCACACAGCGAACCACCTCAGAGATGAGAACCCAAGTGCAGCCGGTGATACCTCAGCACTACACTAGTCCGAATGGAACAGTGTGAGTTTTTTTCCGGTGGTTAGAGTGCCAATCCTGCCACCAACCCCCAAATTTTCCCTGTAAGTTGAAGGACCTCCTTGAAAGGCTGGATGCAGATTAACGTCATACCCAGGATGAAGCAATTGCAGGTTAGGGTTCTTGCTCAAGGGCCCAACAGAGTAAGATCACTCCTGGCATTCACGGGATTCAAACCAGCAACCATCCGACTGCTGGTTCAGATCCCTAGCCTCAGAGCCACCACTCTGCCCCTGTCCCAAAGAAACTCCACAGAAACTCTTTAAAAGACAGAAAGAGAAGCTCTTCCAACCCAGAACCTCCATCTCACACACGGCGGGTCTCACCATGGAGGTGGACAGGTTGCCATGGAGACCGCTGACCCCGCCTGCATGCCGCTGAGTTCGCCACGCGCACACCTGATGAAACACGGGTCATTTGGTTACGGTCAAGTGGCGCCTGTCGATCACACAGAAATCGGTCAATCACAGCCAAACATCAAGCCATGCAGTGACACACGTCTGACCATCCTGTGCTGGACTTAGGAAGCCCTAATAAAGAGTGGATGAAGCCCCGTGTCACCATTTTTACCTCCTGAAATAATGGTAAAAAGCTTCCACTATGCTCCTCCGGCCGGGCCGCGTTTCCGCTCACCTCACTTACCAAGGGGTCTGGGACAGGGACGGCTCCCACCGCCCTGCTCCACGACCACACTGACTATCCCAGGGCTGAATGTCTTAGTCTCTATATTATTGAACCACCCATTTTCACACTGAAGGAGAGCAAATTTCCTAAACCTATGCACTTTTCGTGGTTAAAATAACTTGCACATCTTTGAAGTCCAGTTCAAGTCAGTAGTGCTTGTTTATCCACTAATTGTTTGTGTTTTTACCTATTTTCATGCACAGTATTGAACAGATTTCAATAATAAAGCAAGATTTAGTCAAAGACAGAGGTAATGCTGAACACACAAATAAAGGAGACTTTTTTTTCAACTTTCTACTCAAACCATCTTCATTCAGACAAATAGTATATTATTCATTAAATGGAGGTATGGGGGCCAACAAAGGGTGGTATCAACACAACGTCAAGACAGCGCCTTTGCAGGGAAACCCGAAGACATGATTAATGATCAGCCACAATCAAGCGCTGATCAGACATCTTCCTGCAGCACAGGAGCAGTCACACAACGCTGGGGTGATCAATGCCAGGGCTGGGTTAAAATGCCACATGCATGCCTCTGTCCTCTCTGCTCCGGGGACTTTGACAGCTTTTCCTCAAGTACCGGTCCGGCCCCGTCACTGACAGTGACATGCAGCTGCAGTCCCTCAATTCAGCCACTAGGTGTCCACTGTGAGGCTCAGAGGAATACTGTGTGCAGTAATCAAAGGGTTAAGAGCAATTTTAGTGGATGTTAAGAAAGCTTAGCAATGTAATACTAAAAAATATAAACTCATTTTAATCTTAAACTTAGTCACCAATGTATTAAGTATTTTCAGAAACATACAGCTAGAAAAATAAAAAGTAAAGTTTGGCTGCTGTGGCAGGAGGTTTGTAGAGACTCAGCTCCATTTCCCAAAATGCTCCTACAAAGAAATAAATGCACTCAATAACTTACTAACAAAGGTACAGACAAATAAAATAAAGACAAGAAGCATAAACTTCAATAACCTAAAGAGAATAAACATCTATAATATGGCTGCCATTCTTGTTTATCAGGTCAGTTTCATTTGCCTAGTTCCTGTTTAACCTTTTGCACATGAGCGGTCAAGCTAATTCCCAACCTTTACTGTGCAGAAAGAAATAAACGATAACAAGTGACTCTGGCAATGTGATCTGCCTGCAGCACCTGAGCGGCTGTCTAGAGACCCACAGAGTCCTGGTGGTGATGGCCAGCTCGTCACCCCTGAACCAATCAGAGCCAAGCTTTCAGGTCACATGTTTCTTATGGAGAAAACCATTTGATGTAACAATTCAGAATGCAAGTGCTGCTGGAAGGCACAGTGGGTAGCATAACGGATTTGCTCCAAAGCATTTATTAGTCACTGCCTGTTATAAAGAACAACTCTGTCCTCTAAAAAAAGGGAATCAAGGGAAGGGATATCAAACCCCAGATGAATTACTGTATTATGTTAAATATGCGACCACATTCCTATTATTTCACTTGGCTAAGTTTTGTGTAGCGAAATGTAACCACATTTCGGTCGGGAACCCTCAGGAACCATGTGTGGTCTCACAGGCAGTGCTCTGTCTCTCTGTCCCTGCCTCAGTCACCGAAGATGGGAGATCCACCTGCCTGAGATCCACAGAGGGGGTGAAAGCATCAGAACCGTGTGTCATGAGCACAGGCGCAGCCTCAGCATGACCAATTCAGAGAGAAAATCATCACAGAAACCCCATTCAGAATTAGAGTAAAGTAACACCAAATGTTTATTCAGAATCAACGTAACAATGAAACCCTATTCACAGAGTAACACTGAAAATCCCATTCACCATTCCACAATCAGAGTAATGCCCAATCACTATTGACAATCACAGCACCAAGTTTCACCCAATCACCATTCACAATCAACACCAGACCACCATTCACAGAGTATCACCCAATCACCGTTCACAGTCAGCGTAAAGGAACACCAAATCACCACTCACAATTAGAGTAACACCAAATCACCATTCGGAATCAGAATAACACCACATCACAATTCACATAGTTAAGTAACGTCAAATCACCAATCACACTCAGAGTTAAGTAACAAAAATTTACAATTCGCAATAGAGCTGAACGACATCAATTTCAAATTGAAACAGCGCAATTAGCAAATGGCAATGGCTGCGATGCAGGTTATGCATTACACAGCACATCTGACCCATAGTTTATAACTGTCATGAGAATATCTTTTGATATTCATGCCATTCTCATTGTGGGGCAGTCATTCTCACCAATCAGAAGTGGCCCAAGGAGACTGTGTAAATGCCCACACACAACAAACAGGTAAAACCCAAGTAAAACGTTACAATCGTGGTGCGAAAAGATATTGATTCTGCTGCTGAGCTGTAAGTGAATTAGCTGCCTGTATCATTATCAGAGGTTGTTTACAGAAAGGTCCCGTTATTCGGGCTCCAAGCAGCGCTAGCTGCAAGACCCCTGCTGTGTTTTTCTTACTGGAATTGTTTTATTTTTATTAGTATTATTACTTTATTTAACATAGTCACAGCATTTTTGGTAATTGTTTTATGTTTATTCTTTGCTAATTTAAAAAAGCAATAAATTCATGTTGGAAGCAATTTATATCTTTAAGTTCTCATCCTTGCATTACAATATAGACCAGTTAATATTTTGATGGTATCTCATGTAGTAATACTGCGTCACATGTTTTAAATCTATTACACACTGAACGTTGAACTGAAGTTTGACTTTTAAAAAATTATATCACAAATCAAATCGTAATCACAATATCTGTCCTAAAAAATGTTCCCCCAAATCGTTCAGCTCTGATTCACAATGAAAGGAACACCAAATCACCATTCACAATCAGGGTAACACCACATCACATCATCATTCACAGTGAGAGTAAAGTAACACTAAATCACCACTCACAATCACAGTAACACCACATCACATCATCATTCACAGTGATAGTAAATTAACACTAAATCACCATTCACAATCACAGTAACACCACATCACCATTCACAACCATAGTAAAGTGACACCACATCACCAATCAGAGTAAAATAACACCACACCACATCACCAATCACAATCATAGTAAAGTAACACCAAATCACCATTCACAATCATAGTAAAGTAACACCACATCACCATTCACAATCAGAGTAACAACACATCACCATTCACACTCAGAACAGATGCTTCAGCAGGATCACTGGCACCTCCTGCTGTGGGGAAAGTAAGTCCTGACACTCTGTTTTTCCCTGCAAACATGGAGCAAACACTGCACTTCGGGAGGAGCCAGCAACATGGCTGTCCTTTTTATTACCCTGAGTGAAAAAAGCCTCTCCGGCAGCCCCTTTCTACGAGTGACCCGGAGGGGGGGATGAGTGGGGGACATGGGAAATCTGACGCCGTGTGGGCAGAAACCGGAGTAGGTCACAGTACACCGCAATAAAATTCCCTAATCCCTGGCCAAGTTTCCCTGAGGGGCCCTCCTCCGATGCTTTCCAGGTCCACTTTTCCATTCGCTCGCCCC